TTCAGTCTTCATGGCTGAGGATGTTAAGGAGATTCCCAAATCTGAGACGGCTTTTGTAGGTGACAAAACTGAGGAACTATCACAGATTGAAGTGTCACTAGAGAAGGTTTTGGAATTAATTGATAAACTTAACAAGTCACCGGGACCAGATGGCATTCACCCAAGAGTTCTGAAAGAACTCAAATGTGAAGTTGCGGAACTATTAACTAAGGTTTGTAACCTGTCCCTTAAATCTGCTCCTGTACCCAATGACTGGAAGTTAGCTAATGTAACACCAATATTTTAAAAGGGCTCTAGAGGTGATCCCAGCAATTACAGTCTAACGTCGGTACCGGGCACATTAGTCGAAACAATAGTTAAGAATAAAATTGTCAGACACATAGAAAAACAAACTGTTGAGCAATAGTCAACATGGTTTCTGTAAAGGGAAATCGTGTCTTACTAATCTATTAGAGTTCTTTGAAGGGGTCAACAAACATGTGGACAAGGGGATCCAGTGGACATAGTGTACTTAGATTTCCAGAAAGCCTTTGACAAGGTCCCTCACCAAAGGCTCTTATGTAAATTAAGCTGTCATGGGATAAAAGGGAAGGTCCTTTCATGGATTGAGAACTGGTTAAAAGACAGGGAACAAAGGGTAGGAATAAATGGTAAATTCTCAGAATGGAGAGGGGTAACTAGTGGTGTTCCCCAAGGGTCAGTCCTCGGACTATTCAACTTATTCATAAATGATCTGGAGAAAGGGGTAAACAGTGAGGTGGCAAAGTTTGCAGATGATACTAAACTGCTCAAAATAGTTAAAACCAAAGCAGACTGTGACGAACTTCAAAAAGATCTCACAAAACTAAGTGATTGGGCAACAAAATGGCAAATGAAATTTAATGTGGAGAAATGTAAAGTAATGCACATTGGAAAAAATAACCCCAACTATACATACAATATGATGGGGGTTAATTTAGCTACAACAAGTCAGGAAAAAGATCTTGGAGTCATTGTGGATAGTTCTCTGAAGATGTCCATGCAGTGTACAGAGGCAGTCAAAAAAGCAAACAGGATGTTAGGAATCATTAAAAAGGGGATAGAGAATAAGACTGAGAATATATTATTGCCCTTATATAAATCGATGGTATGCCCACATCTCGAATGTTGCGTACAGATGTGGTCTCCTCATCTCAAAAAAGATATACGGGCACTAGAAAAGGGTCAGAAAAGGGCAACTAAAATGATTAGGGGTTTGGAGAGGGTCCCATATGAGGAGAGATTAAAGAGGTTAGGACTCTTCAGCTTGGAAAAGAGGAAACTAAGGGGGAATATGATAGAGGTATATAAAATCATGAGTGATGTGGAGAAAGTGGATAAGGAAAAGTTATTTACTTATTCCCATAATACAAGAACTAGGAGTCACCAAATGAAATTAATAGGCAGCAGGTTTAAAACAAATACAAGGAAGTTCTTCTTCACAGAGCACAGTCAACTTGTGGAACTCCTTATCTGAGGAGGTTGTGAAGGCTAGGACTATAACAGCGTTTAAAAGAGAACTGGATAAATTCATGGTGGTTAGGTCCATTAATGGCTATTAGCCAGGATGGGTAAGGAATGGTGTCCCTAGCCTCTGTTTGTCAGAGGGTGGAGCTGGATGGCAGGAGAGAGATCACTTGATCATTGCCTGTTAGGTCCACTCCTCTGGGGCACCTGGCATTGGCCACTGTCGGTAGACAGGATACTGGGCTAGATGGACCGTTGGTCTGACCCAGTATGGCCGTTCTTATGTTCTTATATCACTGCATCTGGGACTGGGAACAGGTCCACAGGTGGATCAGGGCAGGATACAGTTGGAGAGGGACTGACTGCATCTGAAAATCCAATAGCTTAAAGATCAGGAGCAAGAGACAGCAGACTAGGAGTAACAGCACTAGCATGAGAGAGAAGAGAAGGGGAAGGAGTGTCAATCTCAGCGCGAGATGGAGAAACTGCACCATCAGAACTGTAGTAATCTAAGTGAAGCTAGACCTCAGATACCTGTCCCAGGGCAGTCAGAGATTCCAAACTACTTCCTCTCTTTATGGAGGGGATGACATGGCTGTGTCTCTAATTGTTTTTGAAATGGGGCAGGGGCACTGCTCAAACCAGGAGCCAGATCTTGCCAAGGCTTTAGGCCTCAGCCAGTGTACTGACTAAGTCATTGCTGGAAACCAGTCTGTTTCACCTGTGTGTTAGTATGGTTAATATGCATATTGGACTTATATCAATGCTTTTAGTGTTTAGATTTTATGAAATGCTTGTACATTGCTGCAGGCATTAATCTCACTTGTAATATCTTTATCACATGCTATAAGGTAATATTTAAGTTTTGCTTTATACCTGTAACAAATGTTTCCTCTGAAAGTGTGACCCAGCAGCAGGATTTGTCTCATGCTCATCAAGAAGTCCATGAAAACTAAATGGGCCATTGGGGGACATCATAATAAACGACCTGGTTAATTGCCCCTTCATACTCATGAAGAGGCTACTTGTAAAAGGGCCTGTCCCATCAGCTTGCATTCTGGAAAAGGAAATAAAAAGAGCTGGCAAGAAATTTTTTAAAGTCTTTGCTGTTTGGACTCTTACAGGGCTGGAGCTATGAAACAGAGGCAGAGATCCCCAGGGTCAACCTGAGGATGCCCTAGAAGACAGAGCTGACATTACTACAACTCTGCCAGCTTTTGGAAATCATAGACTGTAACTCATTTGTGTATATCTGCTTTAACTTTGTGAATAACTCTCGTATTTCTTAGCCAATCAATCTTTAGTTCATTTATCATAGGATTGACTACAATTGTCATCTTTGTTGTAAGATATAAAATGCCATGCACGTGGGGTAAATGACTGGGCCTTGGGACTGGGAGAGACAGCTTTATACTCCAGGGAAATGAGAGAGGTAATTCTAGCTGGGAAGGAAGGGGAATTTCTTCCCACAGTCTGTGACTGTCTGATGACCTGTGAAAATGTAAAGGACCTTATGAGAGAAGGAATTCTGCTCACCTTGACTCAGGTTCTGGGAAACAAAACCCCCGCCCTCAGTGGGGTATGGGATCAAGATTCCTCCTTCTCTCTCTAGAGAAGCTGAGGTTAGGCCAACAGAGTCCCTGGGTTTTGACCCACTGGGGAGGTGGAGCAGAGAAAGGAATTTGGCTATGGTGGAGGTTTGAAGAATCTCCGTTGCCTGACCCCTTTGCTGAATGCAGAACATGATTGAGAACCATTTCATAGGGAGGCATCCCTTCCTTATTTCTCCCTTTGGTCCAAAAAATTGCTGCTTGCAAAATTTCCAAGGGGGATGTGGAATTTCAACCCATCATTGGGACAGCCAACCCCTTGGTGGATAAAGGAAACCCACACCCTCCCTAGAAACCAGGTTGCAGGTGGGAGTGGACAGACCAGGTCTCAAGTTTACACCTAAAGCTTTTGATGTAAGAAGGGAAAGAAGGGGAGAAAAATTATACAGGATGTTTGTCAAATTACTCTGTATGATAACAAAGGGAAGAAGGGAGAAATGACGCTGTATGGAATTTTAAAGGATGTATGGTGGCTTGATAGCACAATGTTTATTATCTGAAGAGTTGAAATGGGAAATTATGAAAGATCATAATGAAGAAACCATAGGAGGAATTAACCTGCTCTGGGAAATACGTCCATGGGTTCTACTAGCACCCTTGTTACACCCAGTTCTTTAGGACGGATACATGGCAGATATGGCAATTCCCTGCAATGACCTTGAAAAAAATTATTGAATGAAGTTTAAGTGTAGATGGAGTACATTGTACTGAAAATTCAAAATTCATTTATAAATGTGGGATTGTATGTAATGTCTCTAGGGAACAGACATAGCTAATGTCTTGGAAAGTGTTGAGCTTCAAAGGACTATTTTCAACAATGTGCCAGACAAGAATGAACTTTTGGGACAAACAGAGTTAGGTGGGAATCTCTAGGTGGAGGTGAATGCAAATTTACTCCCCTCTGATTGTGCAAAAGCCCAGCCTTTTGAAGCTACACCCTGAGGAGAGAACCATTGTCTACTGATTACCTGCTCCCAGAAATCTGAAGATGAAGGCCCTACAGTGATAAAGGAAAGACGAACATTTTCTCGAGTGCACTTGTTCTGAGTGAAAGCTGTTACAAACAGAAAACCGCCTTGGTGTGGTCTGAAGAACAGCTCACCTAATTGAACCCTTGTTGGAGTTGGGAGTGATCGCTGGTAAACTTATTAGCATGCATGTAGGTTCTTTTAATATGTACTCTCTGTAATGCTTTCACCTTAAGAAAAAATTTGCTTCCTTGGAGTGTATGGTAACTTACAACTATGGGCAGTTATGCTGTTTATAGCCTCTGGAGAAAAAGGAAAGTGCAGATCCTGGCCATTTAGGACATCTACATTGCTGGGGGATATGACAGTGTATGTAGGGAACTGTGCAGCCTGAAAATACCCCAGATAAAATGGAGAGAGATGCAAGTCTCCACCCTTGCTGCTCCATGCTGTGGAAATGCTGGTGCAATTGCCCTCAACTGTCTCACATGTAATGAATGTGAGATGGGCATTTCTTGTTTGGGCAGATCAAATAAGTAAAGCCAAGCTCCAAGCAACAAAAGCACATATTGCTGTTATCGGGAAAGGGGGGGAAATACTTTAAAATGACAGTATCCAGCAACCACAAACCAAGCCTCTTAACATTGTAAGACTCTTAATGGGACTGGCTCTGCACACCTGGCTTGCAACTTTAAAACCTCTCCTCTACATCCCTCTACAAGCCAGGAGAGCAGGACAACTGTTTTCCTTAGAGCACTGGTCAATCCTCTGCCTTAAATTATCCCCAAGGGGGGTAAAAATCCTTTGTGGAAGACTCAATGCTCATAACTATGCTGTGATTCAAGAGAGTCACATAAACTGTGCTTATTTTTAATGTGCTGTGACTGGCAATAAAATTTTAATATCAGTAACCCTTGTTATACAATGATGTCTTTGGAATTATGCTAATTTACATGGATCTGGCCTACTGTACAGAGTCTGCGGGTATTGAATAGCTGGAGATACACTAGCCAAACATATTTTCTGTTTTGTGGAGACTTCTGAAAGTTACACAGAAATATAAAAGGAAACTAGGCTGGGCTGGGGAACATACCAGCTTCTCCTTGTCTTTTATCATGAGAAGGGTGGAATTTTGTGAGGCACAGAAGGTCCGACTCCCCTCCCATGTCTTCTTCCCTGAAGAAATATAGTAACAGGTGTCTCCTCCCATTCGTTGCCAGTTTGTGGGGCAGAGTGTACAACTCATTCCTGAAGAAAAGAGAAAAATCATCATTTTGTTTTTAATCCCACGCTGTGATGTGGAGAAAATGAGGGCTACAGGCATTGTCTTGGAATGGCAAGGTAATCAAAGAGTTGTGATGCCTAATTCTCCATGACTCCAAATACTGAGATTTTACTCAGTCTTCAGTGAGTCAAAGTTCCATTGAGTTCAAAAGAAATTTGACTAAGTAAAAACAAAGCAAAAAGTGTCAACGCTGAACTCATTTGGACATTGTCAGACATTGCCTACCCCATGTTGATACTTTGGATGGAGGTTAACTGGACCATGGAATAGTCTCCCAAGGAAATGGCAGAAGTCTGATTGCTTGAAGAACTGTCTGGCATTGGTAAATATACTGTACTAACAATCTTGAATTGGCCAGAGGACAGGGATCCAGAGAATGTACAAAATATTGGCCACCGGCAACATGTGGTGCCCACCAATAATTTTTGTGGTTTTATGAGTCGTGTGGAAAAAAATCAGACACTTTTTCAATCTGATTTCTCCCTGCACAACAGTTTTGTGAGATGGGGGTTATTTCCCATTATTGCCAATCACCCTGCTCAGATTTTCTCCAACCAGTAAGATTTGGATAATAGATCCCTTTTCAAAAGTTCCAAAGTAAGTTACTTTTTTCCCATCTCCCTGGGGCTGATGCCCTGCTTCACAATCAAAGACCCTAAGATCTTTCCTGTTTATTCTACCCATTTTCTGATTCACCTAACTCACCCTTCGTTAAGGTTCCATGTTGAATTTGCCTTAGAAGACCATTAGTATTGCCCCTTAATTAGTCAGAGGAGTCTATTCTGAGAAATATGAGGCACTCCTACCTCCCAAAGGACTGAGCATGGTGCCCCTTCCACACTCCAACACACTTCACTTCTTTCTGCTGTGCCCTTACCCCTGATCCCAGAGACTGAATGGGAGTGGAATCCTGATTTACCACATTGAATACTATAAGGGTACTATCCCCACCTGACATCTATTTCATATTCTGTGTAATAAATGGGTTAATCTCACTCTAGTTCTTGGTGGTTTGTTATCACCATCATGAGAGGCTCTAATTATCTATCTTGTAAGCAATTTCATCAGAGAGAATAAAAATCTAAAGTGTCCTGGAAACAGAATTCCCTTACACCTCATTTCTCTCCTTAATCCCTGTTTACTCAGCAATGGTTTTACTGAGCTCAGGATTAGCGTGAGATGCTGTGTGTGAGGGGACTATTGCATTGCATTGCCCTGTGTTATTACTCATCCTGGGACAAAGGATTAAGTCTGGGTGTATTACAACTTTGTTTACCATTATTTTTATTCTTCACTTCCCCTTCCAGACACAAACTCTCTGTTATTTCTTGCAGCCTGCTTGAGAAATTTGTTTGCAGCGCTTTCTCCTTCTCTTTGAGTTTTACATTTTCTTCCTGGCAGATGTTGGTAACCTGGAAAACTGAAATTCACACAAACATTTTCTAGCATGATTTTGGGATGGAAAGGAGCTTTTTTTTTGCATTAGGCTCACTGGCTGTCCATACTCCATTTTGTTCTTTTCTGAACAGTTACTTTTAAATGCTGCTCGGATTATTAAATACAAGTGTTAATTATCAGGGTGACTACAGCTTTTCTATAATTGTCCTTTTATTATTTAAATCTGAATAAATAATAAAATATAATTGTTGCTTTCAATTATTGGTCATTCCATTGACTTGATTTCTTTTCATCCTTATTTTACAGAAATATCAGATAATGATGAACTCAGGGGTCAAATGTAATTTTTCTGTTTTTTTTTAAATGAGGTGGCCTGTTCATGGGACATGGGCCCTTCCACCTTTCCATCTTGAATTTGTATCCAGAGCAGGTCACTAGTATCCAAAAGTGATGCAGATTAGCGAGAAATGAGATACTGGAAGTCAGTCCTATTCCCACTGGGACAGATTACTGCAGCTGACACAAACAGGCCTCCCTTTTTGCAGTTTAATAAGAGAGGTCCAGGCATGAATGAGCTATTGAGATTGTCACTTGTAGTAGTGATACCACTGGAGCATGGCCAAGGTAATGTATAGTAATGAGTGAGGCGGACCCTGTCTGTGTTGTACCAGCTCTATGGCTAAATCAAGAACTTCAACCTATAGGGGATGGATATCAAACTGGCATCTTTCACCATCATTAAATTCACCAAATAAATATGTATTGTTACTTACACACAACCCCCAGGGCTAGCAGTCCTACCAATAATGCCAGACACAATGTGAGCAAAGTCAGGGCAGCCAGACGCCATGGGAATGAAGTAAGGAGACCTGAGAGAAACCAAAAATGAACTCAGTAACTGCAAGAGGCAGATTCTGAAAATTCCATATTTTGCTTCTATTGTTTTTCTTCTTTTCCTCACCCACTCACAAGGACACTGAGTCATGTGCTGATAGTGCAGACTCTGGTACAGGATGATAAGAAGTCTGCGTGGAGGGGACTGCAGCTACACAAGGTGCCTAAAACATCCCTTCCACTGCAGGGAGTTGCAACTGCTCAAAACAGACACCAGACTGGGGTCACCCCCACTGCAATCTGTCTGCAGAGCTCCCATGGAGCCCAAAGTAGAGATTAAAGCTGGAAGCATTACCTGCCCTCCCAGGGGTGAATTCTTCTCAGGCCATAGCAACAGCCTTTGCTGATGAAGGGACTTGTAATGTGCCATGTCTGTACATGTGGGGTGAATCAAACCCACTGCACATTATTCCACAACAGTTCAGACTTGGTGTTGTTTTTTTCTATTTTCTCCTTATTAGGCAACACCATGCCTTGAAGGAGAAAGTAGTTAAGGACATTGAGGTCAATGGTAATAGGGACAAAATACAACTTGGTTTTACAGAAAATAGATTGTGCCAAACCATCCTGATCTCCTGCTTTGAGAAGGTAACAGATCTTTTAGACAAAGGAACCGCAGTAGATCTAATTTACCTCGATTTCAGTAAGGCATTTGATACGGTTGCACATGGGGAATTATTAGCTAAATTGGAAAAGATGGGGATCAATATGAAAGATGGATAAGGAACTGGTTAAAGGGGAGACTACAACAGGTCATACTGAAAGGTGAACTGTCAGGCTCGAGGGAGGTTACTAGCGGAGGTCCTCAGGGATCGGTTTTGGGACCAATCTTATTTAATCTTTTTATTACTGGCCTTGGCACAAAAAGTGGGAATGTGATAATAAAGTTTGTGGATGACACAAAGCTGGGAAGTATTGCAAATAGAGAGGACTGGTATATCATACAGGAAGATCTGGATGACCTTGTAAACTGGAGTAATAGTAATAGGATGAAATTTAATAGTGAAAAGTGCAAGGTCATGCATTTAGGGATTAATAACAAGAAGTTTTGTTATAAACTGGGGACACATCAGTTGGAAGTAACAGATGAAGAGAAGGACCTCGGAGTATTGGTTGATCACAGGATGACTATGAGTCACCAATGTGGTATGTCCGTGAAAAAAGCTAATGCGGTCTTGGGATGCATCAGGTGAGGTATTTCCAGTAGAGATAAGGAGGTGTTAGTACCATTATATAAGGCACTGGTGAGACCTCATCTGGAATACTGTGTGCAGTTCTGGTCTCCCATGTTTAAGAAGGATGAATTCAAACTGGAACAGGTACAGAGAAGGGCTACTAGGATGATCCGAGGAATGGAAAACCTTTCTTATGAAAGGAGACTCAAAGAGCTTGGCTTGTTTAGCCTAACTAAAAGAAGGCTGAGGGGAGATATGATTGCTCTCTATAAATATATCAAAGGGATAAATACCAGGGAGGGAGAGGAATTATTTAAGCTCAGCACCAATGTGGACACAAGAAGAAATTGATATAAACTGGCCATCAGGAAGTTTAGACTTGAAATTAGATGAAGGTTTCTAACCATCAGAAGAGTGAAGTTCTGGAACAGTCTTCCAAGGGGAGCAGTGGGGGTTTGATACAGGAGTGGGTGGGTGAGATTCTGTGGCCTGCGTTGTGCAGGAGGCCAGACTAGACGATCATAATGGCCCCTTATGACCTTAAAGTCTAAAGTCTATAATACTAAGGAAACGAGATGTCCACCATTCCAGCACTGGTATCTCCTCCAACCAATAGCCATTTACTGCCTTCTCTTCCAGCAATGACAGGTCCTTTCCCACCATCAGCTTACCTCCCTTTTCTCTAAAATTATCCTCCATCCCTCGTCAACCATCATCCAGTCCCCCTTAAATGTTTTTTTGTTTTTTATTGTTTCACAATCTTTTTAATGGAAAATATTTTGAGAATCCAAGTTTAGACAGAAAGGATGAAAAGAGTGAGCAAAGGGGTTGAAAATGAAAGCTGAATTTCCTAAAAAATAATAAAATGGTGAGGAGAAAGAATTAGACATGTATAGGAGAAAGAATATCGTCTGCTGTGACAGTAGCGAGGGTAAAATTACCAGGGCTATTGATCCTCATGCTTCAAGGCATAACAAGGCATAAATAATGATCAGCTTCCCTGAGCTCTGGTGATCCCCAACTGCTCCAATGGCCATTAATGGTCACTAGCAACTGGAACAAGTTGGAGCAGCCTTCTGACTGCTCTAATTGATACCAGAGGACTGGACTGAAGCTCAGGATCAGGAAGAACACAAAGGTGGCTTAAAGCTACTCAGCGCATTCCGCTCCGGAATCATGCTGTGTGCTCCTCTACCTCAGCCAGGAATCAGGGCCTGTAACACACTGATGCCGTCTGGTGATCGCTACTTTCATAGAGATGGCAAAACTGCTAAATACTCTGACATTAATTTGAATGTAAAGATGAAAAAACCTTCCACCTTCACTACTGAGCTACAGCCCCAAGCTGGGGCCTGAAGGCAAAAAAAGGAAGTGGTTTTTGGTTTCAATCATTCCAGGATTGCTGAATGCAAATGCTGCTGCAGGTGCTCTGTGCTCAAATTGTTCAGGGGGCCACAGCAAACCAATGTCCTGACTTGTGAGTGTTTTGCTTAAATAATCTCCTATTCATTGTTTCAGGAAAAGGCTCCATGAATTGGGTTTTTTTCTTCCACTTACTAATGTCGCCTTGGACTTTTTAAAAAAATGCATCTTTGACTCTTTAAAGTGTTTCCCTCCTCTCTGGCTGTGTTCACTCCCTCACATGGAGCCAGCACAAACATTCTGCTCCAGAAAAGTGGGTTATAATTTGTCACCAAATGTTACAATTTACAAGAAGCAACCTGGAGCAGGTCAAACATGAATGCAAACAAAAATCTTCACTTCCCCACAGACCAGAGTTTGACAACAGTAAAATCCTAATCTAGGATGCATCATGCCATGGATGATTTTGCAAAAATGATTATGAACTGATGGCACAGTATCTTCTCTAGACTGTCCAACTCTGCTCTAGAGCCTGATCCCACACAAACACTTACTACCTGGCATACTGCTCACTCATCTGGGTAATCCATCAAAGTCACTAGGACTATTCATGGCGGTAAGTACTGCTCTCAGCAGTTAGTGTTTGCAGGATTGGGTCCCTACATAATAAAATCTTCAGGGGACAGACAGCATCTCCCGCCCATGCTTTGAACAGAAATGTGCCTGCTTCTGCCCTTCTGTTAATTAATAATGACAATAAAACAGGACAAATTCACCACTGGTGTAACTCTACTGAGAAGTGTGGAGTTAGAGAAGCGAATTTGGTCCATTCTGCCTAAGCCTAGGTTGAGAGCACTTCCCAGCCCAGCTAATTTTAGCACAATAACGAAAAAAGCCCAATAGAGATTGTACCTTTTTCCTCAGGAGTGGGAGGCTTTGGAATATTTTCCAGTGCATAAGATTTATTAAATTCCAGATCCGCATATGTAATTTCCTCTGTCATAGCTGGTGAAGAGGGAAGCTTATATTCCGAGCCAAAAAGTTATAGCACGTTTCAGGTTCTGCAGCTGTTGAGCGAGGAACAAGATCTGTTGTTTTAGAGAGGGCTCCTTTTTAATGCATTGTCAGATACAAATAAGGCAACCTGGTTATCGGAGCAGAGTGGCCCAGAACTTCCTCTGAAAGGACGTTACAAAGGAGAAATGTTCCCTTTGAAGTGAGGAATTGTTCCCTTCTCTTTCTTCCTCTGCCTCCCGTCTCGCCCATCTGCCCTCCACTTATTTCTCTTTGCAACGTCTGTCGAAAACACAGCCCTGTCTGTGTAAATTCTTTGGGTTGATTTTTAAAGAGGCAACTTGTTTCTGGAGAACTGCAGGTTCAGGATTCACATGCAGGGGTGAATATATGATTTTCACAGCATCATGGGCATATTCTGTTGTTACCAGCTGCATGCCATAGAGCAGGGTTACGCAACCTATGGCACACAAGCTGATTTTCAGTGGCACTCACACGTCCCGGGTCCTGGCCACTGGTCCGGGGGGCTCTGCATTTTAATTTAATTTTAAATTAAGCTTCTTAAACATTTTAAAAACCTTATATAGTTTACATACAACAATAGTTTAGTTATATATTACAGACTTATAGAAAGGAAACCTCCTACAAATGTTAAAATGTATTACTAGCACGTGAAACTTTAAATTAGAGAGAATAAATGAAGACTCGGCACAGCACTTCTGAAAGGTTGCCAACCCCTGAGCTAGCTCCTCAGCTGGTATAGAATGGCATAGCTTCAACTTCGGTTTAAGCCAGCTTTCTCTCCCTCCCCCCCATTTTCTACTGCCAGTGAGGCACAAAGAAGCTGGTGAGGTGAAGTAAGGTTCTGGTCCTCAGGGCCTAGCTGTCCATTTGGCAAATTCTTCTTAAGCTTTATTGTCATACTGTATCTCAAAAATGGCAAGGTCTCAAAATGTGTTCTGATGGTCTTGCAGATCACCAACTTCTATTGGTATTTTTGAATGCTGGTAGTAAATGCTGGCATGATGTTCCTGTGTGAATCTGGAAAATCAAAATGTT